TAAATATGGTTAAATGTAATTTATGCTAAGTAAAAATACTCCTTAATAAAGCGTGTCATGCTCTTTTATCAATTTAGTAGTGCCTTTATTATTGCAACAAAGAACGACGCCTTATCCTACCGATAGCAAAGCATGGTCGTGGGGACATCAGGTCATGCGCTTCTCTGCGAAGAATTACTGGAAACTCGAAAACTGCTACTGATTCGGGCTTCATTGGCAGATGCTACGTATCTGCGCGCATTTTCCCACTAAATTATTTTTATTAGTAGATTATTCATCATAAAAGCACAATTCCTCTACAAAAAAGTCGAATTGTTAGGACGTAATAGGCCGTACGTTCCGCGTTCTGTTTTGGGGTACCCTCTGGAAGCTATAGTGCGTCTGAGAATCAATTGGCAGTTTGGCCTTCTGTACAAGCAGTACAACCAAATAGGCAAAAATAAACAGCAGCCCTCCAGGAACCAGCAGAATCGCTGCGTGCAAGTCATTCTGACTAGACAGCATAGAAAGTCCACCAAGACATAGCACGCTAGCCAATATTATAGTGATTCCAATACATATTCTGTAGAAGTTAATGGCCACCACACCTTCGGCCGGGGGTGTACTCAATCTTTTCCATATACTTTCACTCATACGAACTTCGTTGTGAAACCGGCGTAGTGACGATCTTATTCGACAGTAGGTCAATCGTAGTGCGTATAATCCATTGGCCGAGAGAATGGGAGCCAGTCACCCATTGTAGCGCAAAAACTCTGCTAAATTTAGATTCTAAATTTACCTGCTTCTTAGGTCTGTTACATCATGCTTAGAGAGAAACATTATGCCGAACTGTGTGTAGAGAAACTTGGACCCAAGGGGATTCAGTTGGCCAATGGAGTGGACAGTTATGATAAGCGGACGATGGAAATCCAAAATTAATTTTATTTGTTAAAGCTTTAGATTGAAAAAAAATAGTGTTATCTTGTACGACGGTATTCGCTTGGATGGAAGCAAGCCTCAAGTCCAGTGGCAATTCATGTCTTTGTGTCAACTATTCTATTTGTATATGCCTTATGTGTCGTTGCTTTCTCTTGAAGTTTGTTTGCTAAATGCATATGTCAATAGGCAATGGCACATATAGGCCCAACAACACGGACGTAGTTCTCTATCGTTCTGGTGGACCATCTGAACAGGACAATTTCATCGTTAAATAGCTTCAAATGATATAAAAGCGTCGACATACTCTCTAATCAAAATTTTACCTCCAGCTAGAATAAGAATAATTTCGAAAGTTCGAAGGCAGAAGGCATAAGAAGCAGGTATTTTTGACAGTAAGTCGCTTGAGACCCGGTTGTTTATTGTTAAAACAGCTATATTTCATATTACGAAGCTTTGCGATCCTATAAGAAGAAAGGAAGTCATCGTCAAAGTAAATCTAAAAGTCCTATGTTCCATTTGCATTTTGTTACCTAGTGATTTACCTCTGTGGGTATGTGTTCTGTAAAAAAGTTTTTTTCTGTAACTATTTTGAATATGTTTATTTTTCGACACAACCTCTAAATAGCAAGCATACAAGAATGCCAGATGATTTTTCCATCTACACGTATAATTTATTAATGAAGTCCTTTCTTCATTTACTACACTTCTGGGAACGTTCTACGTATCAATTTGAGACTATGCTATCCAAGATTGTCTTGGCGGTCTACAGTTTGTATATTGTTGCGTAATGCAAAAAAAAAAAGAAGAAAAGATAGGCTCTTTCTGAAACCAGGCCCATGTTTGGGCGAATTGTGCTGCGGTTTCGAATTGATCAGTTGACGGTATTCCTTGGCAAGGTTCCAACAATTAGCTATTAATTAAATAAACATAAATACTTCGATTTCTGTACACGATTATCTAGCAGCTAAGTTAGCAGTAAGCTAAAGAATCTAAATTAGTATAAGCTAATGAACACTATTAGAAAAATGAACATTAAAGCTGATTCGTTCTTTGAAGTTAAAGGCTCTGTCAATTCATTCATATTTAATTACGCTAAGGACTGAAGATGATTTTAAGGCTACAGCGAAAAAAAAGTTTCATATGAGAAAAATCACAGAAAGTGATAGTCATATGCAGAGCGATAGTAGTCCTGGAGAAAAAAAACTTTAATGTAATGGCTTCACAAGTTCCTTTCATGCTAAAGACAACAGCCAGCTGCACTATTGGTTTGCGTTTTAAAAAAAAAATATTTAAACTGAGCGGTACGTAATCATGTAAATGGCGGACTAACGAACCGACTCTATGCTACGTGTACGTGGAGCACCAGCGTTGATAGTTCCTAGTAATTGTAAGAAACGGCCTACTTGGCCAGTTCTATATCCTTTATTAATAGTGAATCCCACCAGAGCCACGTACCTCCATTATATATGTGATAATCAAGAAAAGGTGGAAAAGACAACGAGTGTTTCACGGATAACGAGAATGAAATAGAAAACCTGTAAATCAACGATCATCACGTTTTGACAAGTACATATTGCAGACGGCTGCATGCAACATCTCCAACGAACGACGCCTACGACAAAGTATAGTAATTACTCGAAATACGTACAATTATCAGGTATATCTGCAGCAGCGATATAATTGACAGCGTAACGTTTTAATTAGTGCAGTAGAATATTTGTCTAGAGCAGGGCGCGCAATACAAAAGAAAATGATCGGGGATTGCCAGTGTTGAGTGGCTCTGGGGGGTCACGTTACTTCGATCTATATCTAGGACAATGTCCTATTCATACGCGCCCTACGCAAAAGAAACGTATCTCTTACACCCTGTGTGCACTACAAGCATTTCGTTTATGTCGTATTTTTCAGTGAATTAAGCGGCTTGTACATAGATGCTTTTCGACTTTTATATACGTTGATTTGTGAGTCTGGCGCACATATTTTACACTTTTCAGCTATCGTTTAGTAAGTGTTAGGTTATGTCTTCGTGTATATGCGTGTGTAAAAGATCAGTCTGGTTCAGCTTGTATCAGACTTTTTGCAAATATGACTGATATATGAAAAGTATATAAACTTCGGACCGAACATAACTACGGTAAACACTATACGATTTTCCATTACACGAGAGACTGCTTATTTTGCATTAGCGGAGAACAACAATTAATTTTATTACTCGCATGATAAACAAACGTTCCTAACACCTTGAGAAGAGGAAAAGCTAATGGTTTGAGATGATTTTTTTTCGGAAGCCGAAAGTGGACAGAAAATGATCGAGTTCCTTTAATTAATTACACACTTTGTATTGAATAGACTCGACGATATTCTGAACTTCTGGGGCCCAGTCGCGATACGATTATTATGATCAAAAGCTTAAGATATTAGCTCATATCTAATGATAACGGCGAGCGTCAGTGCGCCATGTACTGAAATAAAGACAGGAGTTCTCTATGAAAAAATATCCACTGGGGCCTATTGTCGGATATGAGTGGTCGCGCAATTGTCGACTCCGATTTTTTCGCACCCTGAAGCTCCAGCAGTCGCTTAGTGCCTGGCATTGAAGAAACGTGTCCTTTGACGTATAATATTCCGTCTGTATGCCCTAAACCGCCTGCCCGGATATCGAGAGTAATATTCTCATGTGTTTATATTATCTCGTCCGTTGCAACGAGTGAACATCCCAGTTACAGTTTCGTCCAAGACGAGACTCTCACTAAGTACTATAGTTTCGTTGGTCACAACGCTATTGATACTACTTCGGACGCAGTAGTTGCGTGATCAATTTCTACTGTTTTCGGAAGACAGGGCGAAAACAAGGATTTCTCTAGCTGGTCAGCTGCCTGCTATATAACAAATAATAATATCTGTAAGTAGGCATATGGTTCAGCCTTTTGATAGTTTCAGCGCGTACTGATATAAACTCTTCTATTACCCAGCGGGGAAGAAACGGGGTGTAACTTAAGAGAGGATTGCTTGGCCTACACGTATGTTGAAGCCGAAATCTGGTTACCGGCCCAGTGTAGGTATGAAGATCTATAGTAGAAAAAAGCGGTGATATAATTTAAAAAAATGGTCTTTATAAAATAATTTAAAAAAATATATCAAATATAAGATCGTTCAAGAAAAAAACATGTTGAGTAAGCATAAATGCTGTTGAATGACATTTTTCCCAGCTGCCTAATAAGTATTGTGAAGGGTAAAGCAGAACCCTTTGTTCTAAACGATAGTGTGTCACTTAGAATTAATTTTTCCTTAGCGATTGACAATTATGGTAAATGGAGTTCAATTTGTTTGCATAGTGCAGACCTTCAAAACAAAGGCAGCAGCACTGCCCTCTATTGAATAAGATAATGATCTTATGTATACAGCGACTACCGCACGTGGACTTGGTAAATCACTTAAGTTCTAACAAGTTTTACATAAAAATTACCTGGCATGTCAGTTATAAACGAAACATTTTTTTAAACATGGCTTGCCATCCGAAATACTCAAGGAAACACACGACGTTTATGAAGTATACATGGCAAGAATGTTGTCAACGTTGCAGCATGTCTAGTCCCGAAATACTGCGTACCTGAACAGATGGCAACGATCCACATGTTCTGCTAACTTTAAGTTCTAATTAGTAGATTGCACTATTAGTTTTGACAAATGGTTTTCACCGTCGTAGTTGGAAAAGCCTTCAAGGCCGCCAATGGTCCTCAGTGTTATCAGAGGTGACTTTATCGATAGCTAATTAAAAGAATCTATAATAATCAGCTACATATTGTAATTATCGAGCCTGTAAGTTGTTAAATATACGATTCTAGATCGTCTATCCTGTTTTTGAGTGGAAGCGTGTTTTAAAAGAAGATGCCAGTATTCGACTGAAAATACGAAGTGCCCGACGAAACATTTTCTGTAACATACCTCACTTCACCCTCATCCCGACGTCTCAGTAAGATGATGTCACAGGACAGCGTTGAAGAGATACGCTGAGAAGGAGGGCAAGAGAAAAATGACTCCCTGGGTGGAACCGATCATCCGGCGTTTGCAATGGAAAGACAAAGAAGTCCAAGCGTTTCACTTCTGTTGATGATCACCTCACCATTTCTGGATAGACGGCGTTATCTTTGGGAAAATCGGTCGGTGCATGATACGTTAGCTCAGACGCACAAACCGCGTGAGACGGCGATGCACTAATTGAAGTAGAGGTATTCAAGAGAGCCCCAGTAAGGTGCCTTTGGACGGAGAGTTAGCGCATTTTTGTACGACGAAAGAACCGGCATAACGATAGGAAGTTTAGGATGCAAGCTTCATTTAATCTCGTACAGGTTATGTGCGGTGCTCTATTGTTGTTGCATCCAGCCAGAGCCAAATCAATCGTTAACTATCTTCAAGCTAAGGTTTCTTCAGAATGGAATGAAGATCTTGAACCTGTAATTGAATCGATCACTGGTAGAATTCAAAAGATGCTTCTTTCAACTGGCGCAGATATCGTATACGACGAGACTTTGTCATTCGAATGTCTTCGAAGTCTTGTAAGAATCGCGACGGGCCTCCGAGATCGAAAAGTGTGGGCGTTGAAATGTAAGTCTGAGCCTTTTTTTTAATCAGTTGTTACAGTAAGCCAACTATCTGCTTAATTATAGCAAGGCATTTGGTTTTAAGGCATATTATATAGTCAGATAGGTCTATTCTCGGGGATTTCGCGTGCGTTTTGCTCAGCGCAGACTGGAGCTACGATTAGGATTTGCTAATCAATGCAGTGCTCGACAAATGCTAGATTTATCTGCTATACAATAACTAAATTAGCTAGACTCTAGGTAAGTTTCACTGCTAGACGCAACTGTAATAAGCAAATATTCTAGTTGATTCGGACTTTCAAGACAATTCCCGCTACAAAATTGGGTAAATTTAATCATAAAGCGCGAAGCTTTCCCTAGATTTTAGACAACGGACTGTCTTATATATCGTTATCTGTGGCTTTCGGTACTCCCAAACCGAAATAGCGTTGAAATAAAAAGACAAATGGAAATTTTCGTATCAAATGTATCTTCTAAATCGACGGGGCTTAAACAACCCTAAATAAGGCCTCCTATGAGTTTTGCTTAAGGAGCGATTGATTTTTAGTCTGATCCGCGCGGATATTTATTGCCCGAGCCATTTTTGCTATTAAACACATGATGACTAGCTTGAAAATTAGGTCTTTAGGAGAGAAATCTTTGAGGTAGCACGTTATATACGCGACACAATTACAATAGATTCCATTGGTGGTATCCGGTTCTCAATAACCGGTGTTGTGTCTTCGTCTCATCGAACCTACCTAGTGCAACTATTCTTCAATAAAGGACAGTTCAAATAGATGAGGTTTCTCCCCACTCTGCCACGTTAATCATACGTTATTACTGAATTACTGATGAAGATTATATAAAAATGTATGCCAGCTAGTTTTATTCTTTACATTACTTTTTTGTTTTCGGGAACTAAATGGTTCCTTGAACATATGCATATTTTAAAATTAAATAAATAAAATTAAAATAAAATAAAATAAAATTACTCTCTAAATATTAATATCGTAATAGTGAGATGGCTAACGACATATTACTATGTAGCTTTTCGGTGAAACTTTGCAAAAAAAAATTGAGTTTCGTATGGCAATCTCGCTCTGTTCTACAGCCGTTTGCTAACTATTATTACCTAATGAATCTTCGAGTGGGAGCGAATAAAAATAATCAGTTATCTTGAAAAATACGATCACTGTACCACCATTGAAAACTCCACCAAACGAAATCACCGCTCAGAGGCTTAATTGAGTGGATGATATAAATGACTGATTTACAATGATCCTGCCAATTTAGCGCTTGATGTAATCACCTGAGCAACATTTTCTGGGAAACATCTGGGAACTACATTTGTTATCTCCAAATAATTCAAAGCCAAATTGGGGTATCGAACGAAGCTGTGAGAAATTTGGGTAATGTGTTGGAATAAATTTTCCGCCTTGCTCAAATGAGATACAGCCTATTTTTTTTCTATTACGACTATATAGTCGACAGGCAAAGTAGGAACAATAATTCCTCTACATATGTAGAGCTCAATGCATAGTCCAAACTATTCTATTAACTTGCATTTTACCGTTTGCGAAGATGTCAGATTTAATCAGCTCTATACATATGTTCTGCAACAATGTCCGTTAGGCCGACCTAAATGTTATAGATACTACTTGTCCTCGAACTTGAGGGGTGGCATTTTATCATTACATCGGGATCCAGATTCTTTGAAGCTTCTGGCCGCGAAGCTATCTGGATTCGAAATACCGCGCGACCTTCATCTTAAATTTTTCTTCGTTTTGACTGAGAAAGGTTGGGAAGTATCCGAGTATTTTTCAGTTACCATATTCGGCTGTGATAAGTCAATGGTCAACAGATCAACAAGTAACACTCACAGCGCCATGGCGTCCAGTGAACGTTTCTTTAGTTCTCATTCGATGTTATCCTCTTGCAAGCCCTTTTTCAAAGAACAGAAAATATTGTTATCACCGTTTATCATGGATTACCCTCAGATCGGTAGGTGATCCAATCGCTTCCTATTATCTATCCCGCTGCAGTAGCAATACTAAAGCAGTGACTTCCCTCATTCTGATCATTACAGTCCTTGATTCAAACGGAGCTTTCACCATCAACAAAATCGATGGAAGCGTCGCCTCAATCGGAGGATACGACGAATGTCTCTCAATTAGAGTACCTCAGATAGACCAGACAAACAAGGTAAAATGGGTCGATCATTTCATCATCAGGAAAAATCCTTTAAATCGGATCATTAGTTTTCGTATTTCTCCAAGTTCTAATAAAAAAAAAAAAAAAAATCAGGTATTTTGTTTTAAATTATCAGCCAGCGTGAGTGTTACTAGCACAATGTCAACGGATAGATGTGTTGAAATGATGTGTAATCAAAAAAAAAATCCTTAAACTACAACACTGCACTGGTGCCAGTATATTCGACACGAAAAATTACAATACCTTTTTTCTACACACTAATAGAGCTCTAACTTCTTATTGCAGTTAGATTTCGCCGGGAAGTATTGCTCAGTCTCAGTTCACGTCGATCGCCAACCGATGTTGTACAGGCTACTTCCAGAAATTGCTGTTCAGGAGCCGATACTTCTGGTACGTAAAACACAAAATTTCGTACCACACTAAATTTTCCGTAATTTACTAAATGGAAAGACCAACGTCAAGGAAATAGTACGAAAAAAGGATACGAAGTAGTTTGTATTCAATGCATTTTGCAAGGTAACGGTGTCCTAGTTTTGCGTACTTTTCTAATCTCAAGTCGGCCAGTATATTTCGAGACTATCAACGAGTCCCGATGCTTTAGTGTACACAAACAGGTCCCATTCCCGCTTGCAACATGCAAAAGTTAATACCGCTCGTTCGTATAAAACTGCGAGGCCATATTGAAACTGCAGCGAAAATAAGATCGTTGTAATTTTTTCCCGTTTTGCTTTCTTCTTATTGGAGTGGTGCTTATTTATCACATTAGTAATACATTGGCATACGTATTCTATTCTGAAGATGTTACCGATCGACAAAAAGCTACGTTCCACACCCGCGAAAGTTCGTACTTCCATACAGGCATAGAACTAATAACTTATTTGGCAATTTTTGCATGTTGTTTTCTCGTTGAGAACGGCTGAAGCGTACTTTTAACGGCGATACTACCCTGCGATGATATTATTTGTACATAATGAGAACAGAGGCCCGTGCAGTCATTGGATTTGTAATGAGCCGAAGGACAGATTTGGCTAGATATGGTACTGATGGCCATTCACGCTTCTATCTCTTGAAAGCGCTAGAAAGCCTGTTTTCCGTACTTTGAATATTTGAAGGTTATTCGTGACATAGTAGAAGTATATATGGAAGTCGTTTTTGTCCATAGCATCGTTCTCTGCTCTGCATCGAAGACGATACTTTGTGATTATTGGGAGATATTACTCGTACTACCGAATCGGCGCATTTCCGATGACCTTAAACCAATAGAAGCCCTAGCATAAATGGGATTTTCCAATCGGTCAGACGAGCCATTCCATGAATCTTATCTGTGATTGTTATTTCGGTGGTAATTTGTTGCATTACGCAATTACGAAGCGATTGCGTCATTAACGACCAGTGCGTGGCACCATGCATTACTTTAATGCGGATTTTAGCACAGTTAAAGGTTCAGAAGGGTTTCACACCAGAATAATGTAATCTGCATGATTCATAACAAGCCGGCAGGGGTCATATCTTACGATAAACACGGAACACAGCCTTATAAAATCTACAATGAGCAAGGAAAATAGCAGGGCATTGGCCTACATGGAAGTTGGTCGTTTTAGTATTGTAATTGTCTACTGCCCTCTGTAAAGGTTGACCCCTTCTACCTGCAGTCTCTATAATTTCAAGCTGCAAGCTGTTTTAAATGGGAACCATAACCCAAGCGAGGTACATATGTTCGTTACGAACCTGTGCCCAGATTTTCTGGGTGCAGCTCTCTCCCAGCAATACATCATATTCGAATTGCCAATGACTGTTGACTATGATAGATAACATTTGTGAGGTCCTGTTCGGAAAACTAGAGATATATATATACATATGTATATATATATATATATATATGGAGACTAATAGTCACAACAACGACAAGTCGAAGTAAGCGGTCATTTATTAGTGTTTTAGGAATTTCTGGGCAGTCCGAATGCCACATGGGCGCTGGAGATGATGGAGAGGCTGCCACTTGGCATGAGGGTTGGTATTTGTCTGCCATCGAAATGTGAAGACTCCGTTGTTACGCATTTAGTACAAAAATGTGAGTTGTGTGCGTTTTATTGTGTGCGGAAGATTAGCTGGTCATACTAGTAATCCTACATTATAAGAAACAGACCATATTTAAATATATCCAGGTGGTTCCAACAAATCTATACATACTGACTAGCATTGTCAGAGCATTAGATAGGTTGGCTAGAAGTTTTCTTGGTCACACTTGCATGCTAGATTTAAAGTAGCAAGAGAACTATATATTGCAACGCTAGTTCGATGACCTGTTGTTATATGAACTCGTTTCGCAAGGCTTTTATTCTCTCAAAAACTAGACGGCAAAAACATCCAACCGATTGTGTCGAGCTGTTCTCGTAGTACTTACGAAAATAACTGCTGTAACTTACTTACGGAGTACGAAAAATGTTGCGTAAATCAGTTCACATAACCATTACAATCGTAGCCTCTCGAACACTGGCAACAATCTTTTTACGCTATTTAATTAAAGTATTTTTAACTTAATTTGCAAGATTTAGCGCCCATTAAAATTGTCTTTTTAAAATTTCCATATTTCTTACTTTGACCCCTTCTGAGCCAGTGCAATCATTAGATTACACCTAAAGCTATTTGTACTCTGGAGAGGATTTGTAGAGGAGAAAGTTGTCAAAAATTCTACCAAAGTTTTTTTTCAGTCGGAGGAAAATATGGCATCAGGGCAAAACCACTCGCATGCAGGGACGATGTGACAGCAGAGCCTTTCCACGCTGGCATTTGGATCGCTGGGTGAGCTGTCATTCATGTTTGGTCTGCAATTGTAAAATTCAAAAGGTGGCAATGGTATAGTACGCTCAGATATGTCCCTACCGGACATACCCTCTAAGGTACTTGAATGAGCCTATGAGCACACATATTTGTTAACTTGCTATTTACTCATCACAGATTCTTTTTGACTTGCGTTTCAGATTCGTATTTCTAATAGCGATAATTCTTGTCGTATGGGGAACTATAGGTGATTGTCGAAACTCTCCAAATGACCAAGGTCAAGTTTACAAAACGAAGAAGTTTAATTAGTTGTTACGGGTGTCCAAAGATCACTTTTCGAAAGCAACCAATATCACTCTATTTGAAACGTATACGGGTCCTTTTTTTTTTCTATCGCTCTTAGTCGATAACGCACTGCTGCAGAAACAGGACTAAATTGTAACGTAGTTTGATTGTTGGAATCATCTAACACACAGATTAATAATTTACTGAATAATCCTTTCTGATGTGTCCTCTATATCGAATTGAGCAGATTTTTCAGTACGGCTAATGCGATGCTTTTCTGTTAGGGTCTCGTACCTCAAGCTCACAGCAAGTGAAGTTATGGAAGGAAACCGCGACGTCGATTGCATTCACGGCATCCGTGTTCTGAGCTCCCTGTGGATTCTACTGTCTCATACGTTCCTCGGGGATCCTGCACTGTATGGTATGTAAAGTAGGTCCGTTTGGTTGTTATACTGTAATTAATGTTAATCTCAAAAACGCCAATTGTAGGAACGCTGGCGCATGATGATCTTTCGAGGAAGCAAAAATTATTAACATTTAAGGTTACTTGATAATTCACGATGCGAGGGGGCGAGAGCTAGACGAAAGCAGATAAACCCCAGTAATTACCATTTACTCCAGGAGTCGTACAGTTACTTGAATACTACTCGTTCTTACAAGCCACTTGTGTAACATAAATGCCGAAGGATGCTCTAGACAATGGAATTTAACGACATTTATATACATATATTAACGATTTCCACCTACAACATACTAACAAGTTTGGCTTTGTAGTAATTTTCGAGGTTGGGTTCCAATTGTGCCATTAGAAGTCGTATCAGACCGCGCGTGCGCGGAAGCCGCATATGCCTGTGAAACTACATAGAATAGTTTACAGACATAAGTTCAGTCTGTCAGACCAGAATGATAAAAATGAAAATAATGTATGATTAATATCGGCTAGATCGAGGGTTGCACTTCCTGGTCGTTCTGCGTAGTCCCGTATTCAGCATTGTTACGCAAGGAATACTGGCCGTGGACAGCTTTTTTGCCCTCACCGGGATCCTAGTCTACCGGAAACTCTATCAAGGCATTACAAAGGATCGTATTTTAGAAAAGGTAAAAGATGTCCTATGAAATTCTGTTGTTCTAGGCTGTACAAAAAATTCAAAAGTGTGATTGATCATCAAGCACACCCATTCGGGCATCGGTCCAACATATCTACACCATTAATTCATTTGCTTCGTACGCTTGTTACTCTCAGTGTTCGTCGCGGTATAACCAGTGATGAATTTTCGTTCTCGTACCGTTTTGTTTTATTTCCTTCGTTGAGCAGGTACCAGTAGTGCAATTCGTGTCTGTGATGATACTTCGGCGCGCGTTACGTCTTCTTGTCCCCGCGCTAGCGGTCATTTGTATGCTCTATTTCCTGCCAGTTGTGACTTCGGGACCCGGTATGGACGCTTTCTACCCGTTTTTCCGCAGGAATTGCGACCAACGGTGGTGGACACAATTATTTTTTATCAACAATTGGTGGAGCTTTGAACTCGCTTGCATGGGTAACCAATGGTGAGTTGAACAGCCACCTTTGCACAGATTGTATAATCATGAATTCGATTTTTGAAGTATAACTATATATAAGTAGACTTCTGATTTTGTCGATCATAACTAAAAACTTTTGTGCCAACATTGAGAAGCTGGGCTAGTAAGCGTAAATCGGGTGTGCTGCTCCCGTAAATGCCGAAGTGAATTCGACGAATAAACTTCTGGCCGTGAAGTTCGAGAATGCTACTTCGAGTACCGCGTTAAGACCTATGCGCCGAAGAGCTCTAAGCTTACGGATATTTGTTTTATGATCTCCATGGACAAAAAGTACTAACAGATCTGCTTCTTTACGTTTGCGTTTGTTAACTCTCACCTCTATGGGATCACTAAATTCTCTTAATTTTTAGGTATATTGCGGCAGACATGCAATTGCTTATCATCTTGATCCTACCGACAGTTCTAATGGTGTACCGACCCTACCAAGGCGTTTTTGTGCTCGGCCTTCTCATCGTTTTCTCAAATGCCTACACAGCTTTTCTTACAATTTACTACGATGCTACACCCACATACTTAATTTTGCCCCGACAAGCACTTAAGGTACTAATTTAGATTAGTTTAATTGATTATTCATGGTCGGATTTAACTTCAATGGAAGGAAGCTTCTTTCGTTAGACAATGTTCTTAACTTTTTTTTTTTGGGCGATAAATCAGTATAAATTATGCCACTCAGCATGAGGTTGGGCAAGGGCTTCGAAACGGGTAACCGGAATGATTTCTCAGACCTCATAAGTAATGATACGGTAGTTTACTGTTACGTCCAGTATTGATTTTCACGTTATAGGTGATGCAGTTTGCCCTGCGTATCAGTGATCAGGCGCTTCCGTATTTGGCCACAGTATGTATAGGCATCCTGGGGGGTCATTATATAGAGCATTACAAAAACCGCGAGATTTCCCCGATGGTCACGAAGATTTGTTGGTCCTTGATCGGACTGGTGTCGTTTATTATCGTGTTTGGTAAGCGTATAATCTTTGTATTGATTTCCACCATATTGTGTACCATGCTCAAAATTAATATTATAGGGCAGAGACAAATGGGCAATTCTAACGATGTGTTATATATTATGCTTGATAAAATTTGATATTGTTTATATACAACGGATCTCACAACGATAAACACAGATCAATGAAATGTCTCACCCACACGTGACACATTATATATCTATTATTAATTATTACTTAATAAGAATACTACTACCACTACTACTACTACTACTACTAATTACTTAGCCTGAAAATATAATTTTTCTCTTAGCTAATTTATATCAGAGGAAATAAGGCTGAAATATTTTCGAATGCCCTCAACCATAAAAAAAATAAACCTTCTCATTATAGCGCAATAGAACCTCAATGTCTACTAAACTGAACTTAATAACTCATATACGAGACGCAAAATACGAAAAAACGTTTATCAAAGAAAACGACCTCCTTACCAAAGGAAAAACAACAACGTATATTGATACGTTGTTAAGCATTACTCGCTTTTAAGGCTTCGTACTTATATCATTAAATATCAGAGAAAAATTCTTAAACAAAATCTGATAGAGCGCTATAAAAATAGTACGTTTTATCTCGTAATAGATATTATATAAATTTATCACGTTTTATTAACTACTGGGTAAACTTTTCAAATATTCTAGTAGTCAATGTGTGGCACCGAAGAGGGTCGGTGAGTCAAATCGAAGCGGTGCTATACGGATCTCTCTATAGGCCCCTATGGGGTGCATGCGTTGTATGGGTAGTTTTTTTCTGCGCTTCGGGAAAAGCTCGTAAGTAGCAATTTCCAATGACATTTTCAAGATTGATCAATCCTGTTGACTGATCATTTAATATGTTGTGTGTTTTAATTTTGGTATAACGCATAGACCCCTGGACCCCGTTAAAACAGTGCTTTCGTTGCAGAGATAATTGTTGTAAAACTCGATGTTTCGTACCGAAATAAATGCAAATATTTAAGTTACTTTAACCCTTTAGTGTAGTCAGCAATATCAAGGGGTTTTATTTGTAGCAAAACAGTCGGAAATTTTGCAATGAGACATCACAAAATGCACAATAGAACACCTCGCTTCACCTAGGTACCTATAAGTTTTACACGAGAACGAAGACTAAGACGTTTGCAATACTACTTGCGCTGCAGCCTTCGTCCGATGGATACTAAATCGGCCAAACGTAATGATCCTGAGTCGCTTGTCCTACTGTTTCTATCTGTGCCAGTACATCGTTATAATGTTGAAGAATTTCACAGGAAGATACATGGTCGCGTTCACCTATTACCAAAACGTAAGTTGGTTTTATACGCAGTGGCAGAACTGGTTAATTATTATAAGACTGACCATTTATTCGATACGCTTTTTAATCCTGTAATGTTAGTTGGCTACCATTTGAAATGTATCTGCCTTTTTAGTTATACGAAGTATTCTATCGTTGCTTCAATCCTGCGTGTGTTTTCCCAGAACTCCTGAATATCCAAGGCTCTAAAAGGCGTGAATAGAGGTGAAATCTAAAAGTCATGATTGTTTTGAGGAGCGTAGTATCAGCCGTAATTAGAGCCATAATTTATTTCGTTATGCCGTGATTTGCAGTTCCGTGACTTCTTTGCAGATGCGATCTTCAACTACCTTCTGGCAGTTTTCATATTTTTTATATTCGAGGCTCCAACGTACGCTCTCGACAAGTTAGCTTTCGCAAAGCAAGAAGCCAGATCAGGCCGAGCACAGATTAACGACCAAAAAGACATAAAATATGTGAATCAGGTCTTTGATACACCAAACGGAAGTGTTTTGAAAGCATCAAGTAGAGCCGCGCTAGAATCGACGCACGATATCCCCTTCGCGCTCATCTATAGGCTATGAGAATTAACTGCCAAACGGCAATCTGGAAATCGCCACATCGTTCAATATCTACTATTGTATTAAGACAAAATGCTCTGAAATCTACTGGAATCGCGGGCAGATACTCTCGAATATTCTACATATAACGTATGCGAAATTTTTTAAACGAACCTAAAATAATTAGTAAAAACGAGAAACATGTTGTGGTTTGCCACGAACCGAATACGCACAATCGTGCCAGAAGCCATATTTTTCTTATTTTACATGATAACAGTAACGCATAATGAGCACTTACGGGTGTCAAGTAGGCACATGAGTTGCACGTAATTACATAAGTTAATTTGCGTGAATGACTAGACTGAGCATGCTCCTGTATTTTTGGCAAGTTATGAAAGTAACAAATAAATACAAAGGTAAATTTAGAGAACTCTCGCAAAGCTATTTACGGAAATTTTAGTTGACTGTAAAAATATGTACTGGCTGGTCAAAAAGGTATTCATTGTTGTCCTGCTTGAGTGGCTTTCAAGTCACATACCTTAGGTTATATCAGTCTCAGCGCATTTGACATCTAGTTTTGGCAGTGTCTTCATGTAGATATGAGATAGAGCGTTTTGTGAAGATTCTCTATATTTTACAATACTATTACGACAGCTGCTGCCCAGGACGATAAAAAAAAAAACTTCGTATTGCGTTATCGGAAGAGATAATAGAAACTTCTGACGTTTACGTTCTGAAAATTTGAACGCGAAAGATGGATTAGTCGATAGCTTATACAAGAAGTTAATGAAACTATGCGTAAACAGCCCCAATAAAAGCGTCCATCAGCAAACACGTTTAAACTATTTGAGGGAAGTTAGCTACGAAAAAGCGTGATGTCTGAAGGTCACATGAATTGATGCAAAATAACCTGCCTCTACGAAATTCTAGAAGAACGTAACGAAATCGAGTCGTTTCCAAGGCAATAATGCGCAAACAAAGACCGACGTCCAAGGAGGCGGTCCAAGGAGGTACCTGCTAAAGCTGCCACTGCCTGGCAAGACGATTAATCTACCAATTCTACTGTCAACAAATAATATGATTACAGTAAGATATTGGAAATATCGGCCGGAATCAGCAGGTAGAATAGTTGTCGTGTTTCACCATAACAGCGTCGGACCATGTACATTGTCGGCGGTTAGGCAAACGCTGAGAAAATTCGGACGAAAAATTTGAACGCCGACGTCTTGCCGCCGATAGATCCTAATGTTGTTATTTTATTTCAATGGAGAGATACAAGAATGAAACACGGAAGTCCTACAGTGATTAACTGGCTTAAGGTCTTATAGGAAAATTGCGGAAAATCAATTAAAAAAGCGCATACTCAGTTTGGTGACATTATTTCTAATATAAAAACATATTTGGGCTTAAAGAGAGTTAATATTTCCTGATGATATTTCAATATGATGAGCTGTTGTTGCTTCCTTAATTCGTCGTTTCGGGCGAAACCGGCTTTAGAGTGTTTGCACACTTCAGCCAGATTAGCTCAGTGAATATTCAGTTGGTTTTGTTTACATGCCTATTTTTTTTATAGTGAAGCTTTTAGCAATATTGCGCATAACAGAACATTGTATTGAGTTTGGTTAACAAGTACAACTACCTCGGTGTTAGGCGAGCAAGCAGCGACTTCATAGATGACAGCTGTGAAGTGCGACTCTGCCTTCCTGTTCACCTCTGAAACGCTCTGACGTGTTAGAAATCTAAAACATTTTACGGTTAACCTACGTGTATTTGTATGTAACGTCTAAAATAAAGACAACAAACATATCCTTCGGATTCGTCATCGCTTTTCTCGCCTAGTGCATGGTAATAAAATAAAGGATTGATATAAATATTGCAGCCTTTTTATTTCATCCGTTAAACACTTCGTACAGAGACAAATCTACCGCCTATAAATGCAGAAAGCTATTTCCAATTCGGGAGTTCTTTCAGTAGGCGCAGCCAGCATCTGAACGGAAGTTAGATCCATCTCCTTCCTTAGTCTTTAAGCGATAAGCTAAAGCTAAGCTTTAATTGTCCAAGAGAATTACTCTATCCCCGTAAATATAGAAGGCATAGGGTTACCTGCAATAATAACCCAATGTTAAAATAGCAACGTTTTATAAATTGGAAGAATTACCACTAGTTTGAATTATGCATCGGTATGGAACAATCGCAGTACCAAATGCTTAGCGGCTGCTTTTCGTAGTCAACGATGGTACCGTTTCTAAAATTCAAGACAGGTATTTAGTCAGAGAGAAACTTCACGTATATGTATGGTTCGCTGAAGTTCCACAGATTCGTTTGTAGCCATTCAAGATACAGGTTAGGATAAAAAAAAAAGATGGCCATAAAATCGGATTCTAGATCTACGTGGACATTCTGCCAGGCACGTGTTTATTATGTAGTGGAATAACGAGAAACTAAAATGTATATGCTTTTGTATTTAACGTAATAGAGTACCTTTCTACTTAGGATCCGTCGACTGCAGTGGGACACCACATACATCATAATAATTTAGAATTTTTCTAAATAAGAATATCATGAAAGAAAAGGGCACTCACTTAAAATATATAAATTGTTATCTTTTACCGGTTCCAATCGGAGCGAACGTCACGAACAATTACGTTTAGTCGCTAAATAAGTACTATAAATTTTATTTATGACCTTTAAGTATTGATATGATGCTTCCGAGAATGCTCAATTGACCTAACGATGGGTTTTTGTCCAGTATATTGATATATATTTGATGTACGTTACGGTCCTTTTTCAACCGGGACGCCATCTACATAATTGCCTTGAGTGACTCATTGTGACTCAAGTGGCCTTTGGACAAGCAAGCAAAAGCTATGAATTACGGGGAACTCTACGAATCTGATGAAAAAAGTTCGTCTAGACAACGATTTTTAAAATAATCAATTACGCTCATTTTTACTGTCTGTGGTAGTTTTCTGAAGTCCATGTACTTCTAGTTATCTAGTTACTTAATACAATTTACGAACTATAAATTACGAATGCTACGTCCATATGAGGCGGGTTCAACTTATGTGGAGCGAATAAGAACTTGCCAGGCCGCATCAAACTTCTGCTGTTTTACATTGAGCAGGTTCTACTCTGTACTGTACTGTAGTTGCTATTTGAATATATTCATCAATCGCCAATTAAATACTTGCGTCAATCCGCGAGCCCTACTCGACGAGGCGGAATTCTGGACAAAAGCCGTTGTGTTTTCTGACAACACATAATATCCGAGAGTTTCTTAGGAAAGGTTATATATGTATGGCACTAGTTCGCTCTCCACTTCGACGGTCTCTTCAGTCAGCTTTTCTCCCGTTCCTCGTCGGGCTTGACACATACGCATATATGACAACACACTTCTTAAAAGCCTTAATCGATCCTGTGACAACATGCTAATGTGTTTAACTTTGCCATAACGTCAACTTTAGGTATTACGGTGTCCAAAGGTCCAAAGTTACCACTCATGGAATAAAGGTAAAATGTGTTTTTTACAACAGCAGTGTAATTTGAAGCATGAATGAGAGCCTCAATGCTCGTTTTCGCTGCTATTGTTCTTCGAAGTTCGCCTTGCCGAGAGCTATCCTTTGTAGGAACACACTAAATAAGCTGGTATACATAGTTCTCGAATCGGTCCTTGTCGTGTAATAAAGTTGGCATTTTTAACTTCGAGTAAACGGTAGGTTTAAAGATATTAGGGATGAAATATTTTAAATGACAGGAATAGAGAACGGACTGCGTGTCTCTACTAGCCGGGCTCGTACCATTGGTTCTGACGAGCGTACCCGGCCGCCCGGTCGGAAGCTCGGATACATTGCTACTCTTGGAATAAATAAATTACAAGAAAAATGCATATTTAATGAAGGGGATATTTAATAAATAAGCAACTCATGTGAGCCTTTTACTTCGCTGTAGATCTGAATTGATCACGAGTAGATGCTGGCAAAATAAGTGAAGCTAACGCTCGCATACATAAGGCAATATTGAAGCTATATAAGCAAATATTGAAACAAGTTAATCATCAAGTGGGCTATGTAGACTTTCATGCGGTTTTTTCACGGTTCAAAATGGACGGTGTTCCTTAGAACCAACAGATGCTGACAAAAAAACGCAACACGCTGATAATTTACTAAAACAAATTACTATACCTGGAACAGAAAATGAATACATTAGTAATAATCATAATTAAGAATGCCGTGAATTCTACTTTGGATATTTGTTTGTAGGTTTCGAGGATCATTGTTTAGGTCAGAAATGTTGTACAAAGGAAAAAAAATTATTTCATGGCATACTGACGGACTCGAGTAGTAATGACAAATATGAGGGTCTACGCCACGTTTAAAGTAGCCCGAAAAAGAACCCTAATTTAGTTGGCAGAAAGATCGTCACTCACTGCCAGCACTAGCACGATCACAAAACACCAGTTACGCTTGTAAATGAGAGGTTTGACTCGTTGAAATAGTCGAAGCTTTAATTAATTAATATCAGCTTAAGATTAAGGTAAACAAATTGAAGCGGATCCGTGCGAGTCGATCCTATCTACGTTCAGGAAAACCTGCATTCATTTTCCAAAAATTAGGCTTAAATTCACGGCTATTTAGTAGGCGATTTAGAAGCTCGGTCACAGAAACATAGTTTTAATTTAATTAAAGAAAGCCTTCATGACGAACAGCGTAATTGGTAGCAATATAATGCCCAAAACAATAGACATTACCAATAAAATATACGTAAGATGTGTGTGATGTACGCAGTATAATTCCCCTTGAATATAATGAAAATATATATATATATATATATATAATATAAACGAAAAGTAAAACTAAAGAAAGTGTCATAATTCGTTGAAAGATGGCGAGTCGTCCTTGTTAGGACACTCTGTAAGTATCTAGTTTAATATTCGTTTATGGATATTTTCTAGTTCGGTGCGCTATCGGTTAGCAATCTGTTGAGCATCGTTCATATTTCAGGTGCCTAGAGGAGACAACCCCCCAGAAAACGAATGCACCTATCTGTTTCAACGGCGATATGTTTTGTTCGGTCAGCATTTGTGTCAGAATTGTTTTCCAATAGATCAGAACCATCTAGTTTAAGACACCCTAGTAGATTAGAAGTTAAAAAGGTAGCATTTGATATGTACACAATGCAGAGTACGAGCGCATCCAAATAACTTACTTGACGCGTGAGTGTGCGCAAATAGCTGATGCTTCTATTCTTTCCGTAGAACCGCCACGGACTTAACCACCCGGTTGCGTGATATATATTTGTCACGTAAATCATTACCGTGGAATTGAATGGCGATTTTAAGAAGAGGCGGACTGGCTGGCGCGTTTAACCTATGCGAAACACAATGTGAGAGGCGGAGATTCGAAGTCAAAAAAGAACACCTATTCGTCATAAAATTAAGAATAGTAAGACGTATGACGTATGGGTATTGGTGAAACAAGAAGATGTGAGTTAGATATATACTTCGGCGAAAAATTATGAGATTGGGGTTGCCAGGTGTAAGGGTACTTTAGCTGTCAAAAAAGTAATTTTTAAAACGCTTAGCTAAAAGAAAGATCAGAGATGTACAAGCAGCCTTTGCAGTGCGTAACTTACAGGCGCGTATACGCTAATAGCTGGAGAAAGGGATGAACGTCTGTTTCTATCCGGTCGAAAATAAACAACACTTATGAGGAGTGCGACAGTATATTCAACCGTACCCCTCTCACCCTAAACTACCCAAATACACATAGAACTCTGTAAAAAGGATTACTAGACGTACCTTCATACAAAGTTCATGGCTAGACCAAATATCTGTAGATCTTGTAAGCTTCGGGCCTCTCCTTGAAGAGTGACATACGGTCACTTGTTTTGCTACTGGACCTGTGAATGCTCTGGCTGCCTTTACCATAACAGTCACCCGAGTCGTCTTGTCACAACGAGTCCATCCTGTTTAGAGACCATTCTGAGACCATGGTTAGTGAAACAAAAGCTAGTAATTGTGATATACTGTCCAATGATCTGAATAAAAATATATATGCTCCCTAAATAAGAAAGCAACAGGGCTTGCCGCAAATAACCGCCTACGCCATTATAATTTCAGGCTAAGTTAGATAGAACGGACAGATAACATTTTTGTGCCACCCGTGGAACGAAATAGTGTGAATGGCACATTGAAGAAACATCACAATTCACACTTCGACGGATGACAAAAAGATTGATAAGTCTGCATGGATAGTGGCTACAAACTGACTTTTATTTTATGGGATAATAAAATTCGTACAATTTCGTTTATAGTATAAATGTGTAATAGGCAAACTCGGATACATAAGGATCTTTTTGTTAGTCACCATAGTCAAATGAGTCATCAACTATTGTGTTTGGTTTTTCTCACATATGTAGGCCATGTCCAGGTTCACTCCGCTAAGAATTAACCGTAATGCAACGTTGCTTGGTAGACGAACAGATGTCAGCTGCTGATACCTGTTACTGCTTGAGTGGATCCATATGAAAGAAACATAAAATATATGCTCCATATTTTGAGTATGGTACGGCTGGTAAGCGCTGTTTCAGTAGGCTGTGCCTAGCATCAAATAAAATATGTCTACGCCTGCTTTCGGATCCAAATTACCTCAGGCGTTTTTTAGCTCAATCGGAGAACATGTTGTTACTGCATTATTAGCGGGACTATATATATACAGAGAGAGAGAGAGGGGAGAGAGAGAGAGAGAGAAAGTAATTGGAAAAGTATTGACGAATTCTAAGCCAAAATTGAAGCAAATGTTATTCTTAATATATTTCGAATAGGACCATAAACAGTCCTATTCTCGTAAAATTTCTATGTTTTCCAGATGACAAACGCGAAGAGGTGATTTTGCGTTGAAACTAAGCTAATACGTCGTCTTACAATAGAGAATAAGAGGCTATAAGAAATCTACAAAAGTAGGCCAATGTGCATCTATTTATACAAAATACAAATAAGAGGGTCGGTGTCGCGCGGAATTAGCGAATATACATATCTCTACAGATAGTTTTCTGCGAATAGTTTGTCACCGGTGGTTACCAACAGATGGAACTCGTTCGGCGAAAAGCACCGGAATGTGCATTTCGAACAGGAGGGTCGGGCCACTTTGCCTTTGTTTCCTAAGCGCAGTTCAGAAAAACCTGTTGAAACATGCAAGCTATGAATATTTAAAATTACCTTGTCGTGTATTTGTCCATGTTTTTGATGCAGCTGATGCAAGAACGGCCATCCGGTCGGAAGCAACTTCAAAATGACGCCAATAACTAAATGTATTTATATGAATCTCTCTTTACAAACTTTAAACATTTATAATTTTACTTGAACTCAGCATCAAAAAGGTAGGCTGGCTGGGCTGGGCTAGGCTTTCTTTATGGTAACTTTGCACACTTTTTAGCTACTTTTCGGTATACATCTGGCGTATCTTTGATGTGATTGTGCAAATATTTCCCCTAAACTTGCCCACCGTCCGTAAAATGCTTTAGCATGTATTCAATCGTGGATATTGTACTTAGGCAAAAGTTTACATGAGTTTGTAATAAAGAAAGATCAGTACAAATGCACTCTATTGTATTTTGTTAGTGTCATCTTCAAGTTGCTGCCGAAAATAGCCGTCCCCGTGTTATAGCTGCGAGTCAATAGTCCAATTGATTTGTATTACTAAAACTAGGAACATGCGATTTCGTCGTTAATATCTACGTTACCAACTCTAGTGCTCGATCTGCTATATGCTTATTGTAGGTCAGTTATAAGGCAACAAGTGTCTTACAAGCCGACAGATTTCTGCAATTTTGGATCTAAAGTGGGTTGTACTTTTCTAACGTATATGTACAGGGCAAAATAGTTGCACATATCCGAAAGACACATAGATGGCTAAATTTCAATAAATCAGAGCCAACATGTTATTTGCTGCTCAAAGCAAAGAACTTAAAAAAGGAACCAAAAAATACGAGACGTGAAAATTGGATATAACAACCCGAATAGCCAAGAGTAGAGGCTATAAGCTTATGATCTAGAGCTACTAAAGCAGGCACAAGCACCGTTCTAGAAAGTAAAACACAGTTCATAGGAAGGGAACTGGCACTCAAGTGCTATATTCTATTGTATCCGTCAACTACTTGCTGTAAAAGGTGCTATACCAGCCTATGAATAAAGTTAAAAATTCCTATAACAGCTATTGGGCAAGTCTAAAGAGACCTTCCTTCGAAACAGTGCAATACCAGCTGCTTAGCGACTTTACAGCCTCTTTAATTAAATGACAATGTAATTTTTCGGTGTTTTGTACACATATATGTATCAAATTCTATCTAAAGTATCTCTGACTGAATGACACCTGACTACTTTTTGCATTAGTACTTTTCCGAAGAAAATCACTTAGCTAGCCGAGCTGATTCAAATTTGCCCGGGAAAGAAAAAGTAAATAAATAGCTTTGCAGAGGACGAAAACATTACCATCATATGATAACGTCGAACGATTCAAGCTATCCTAAATGAACAAAAAGAAAGCCGTCTATTTGGCCGAATGATCTTAGCATTCGAGAACATGCCCGAACTAATCAACAGCTATGGAATACAGATTTACGGAGGAGCGTACGCGTATTTGCTTCGCAGGCTATCATAAAGGTCAGTCATCGCGTAGAAACATTTGCCTGGTCGTTTTAACCGTAGACATGTTTATGCAGGCACAAGACGCCCTTAGGCGAATTGACGGCAGCCTTTTTTTGTCAACTAGTGGCGGCGACATGATCACTGTATATCAGGCTGTATAGATGCCATATATGCATTTGCACGACAGACAAAGGCTTTGTTTTTCAATAAGCCTGTTTACCTGTAACTAATTGTTGGAAAAATGTACGATTTATGACGGTTATAGCTAGCGCATTTTTATACTATCCAACAGTGTCTTCAATGTTGATCTACACAAACAAACTCCAGTAGATATATTATAAATATTTCCTCACTGAGTCTAAGCTATTCATGTCAAAGAGCTGAGATATGCATTTCTGCACGACGTTGATTCTGCAGTGACCACCTCTGGGGCAAGTAGTTTGTATTACTTTGACCACACTTTGAGCTATCATAATATTAAGCTACTACAAAGATAGACCTTTGCTGTCTGTTCTGATATTGAACGGCTTCAATCTTCAATCAACCAGCTAACTGAGGCGAATTTCTACGTGCATTCGTGCCTTAAATGAATACGGCCTAGAAAGAAGCACCGAAGACGTTTGCAGCGTTCAGAAAATTTTCGAACGCGTCAGTGAAAAGCTGCGCTGTCATAAAAGGCCTATTTAATTTTTGTTGAATTGCGGTTATTTAGGTGTAATAATTTGGGTGTATGTAGATTTGCTTACAAGTACTAAGTAGGGGGTTAACATCATTCATTGGTGTTTCTGCACAATGCAACTGACGCATGTGTCCAAAATCGCCGTTGTTGTTGTTCTCAACAACTTGCAAACAGTTCGATGCTTATAGATATTGGCTCACTGATGGAGAGGCTTTTTACTGGAACGTCTTCCTTGTAAGTCAATTATCTAAAAACAATCCAGACTCAGTTTTGCTTAAAAACAGCGGCAATACATTGTGATAGCGACTGTCAAACACATACAGTTGCAGGTACATTAAACCAGCCCATGTTAACTTTTAAGGTCGTAATTTCTCTTTGTCACTTTATCACTGGGTTTCGATTAGGTATTGTTTTCCCATTGGTCGCAACTTTTCCTCCTGCGAAATTGCTACTTTTTTGTTTGAGTTTCACATCTTAAGCGTTATATGACCGGTGTGACATCACGCACGTGTATCCAGGTATTACGTATCAAATGGTAGAACCATCAGTGCATGGAATGCTGAAATTGACAGTCCTTGTATTTTTTCAGGGCGTATATGCGTCATCTGATATCTAAGACGAGCCACTGCGCTATAACACCAATTATTAGCACAATAGATGTGCTTGTTTTAGGGTGAGGAATATTTGTTTGTATTTTTCTTGGCCTATTTACCTCCATACTATATGCATCTGAATTGTAACATCGCTGAAAAGTAGCTTAACAAACCTGTACTAAGCGTCCACGAATTGACCTACTGAAGCCGAAGTCAACAACAACAAGGGGTGCAGTGGTTATGCTCTGCATTGAAACGCAGACTTACGACAGACCCCGATGGTACATTATAGAGATATTATATCTATATATCCATATATAGAGATGGTATATTATAGAGATATTGGGCCCAAATGTATATATGCAGCTTAGTTTTGTCACGGTTGTTGCTGACGAGATGATCGAGCATATCGATCAATCACAAAGATAACACAGAACAGTATAACGTATGTCCAGTTATTATTATGTTTTTAATTGCGACATTCAAATACTCGACATGATCAGCGCGTCTTTCCGCGTTCCCTCGGCAGAAAGACGATGCAGACAGCGTTGTATGCAGAAAATGTTTTTCCATAAAAGCTTATTATAATAACGAAGCAATATACTGGAAGCTTTTGCGGGTTAATTCAGTAATCATATGCTTCGATTTGTACGCATTCAAATTGATGTCGACTTGCATGGAAAACACCAAAGTTGTCAACGTTTGTTGTTTACCTAACAACAGTTTCGAGCACTTATGTTGCCAACTTTCCAAGATAGGCTCTCAAATGATCAATGTAATATCTACTAGCCAGAATATATATCGTGTATGTATGTATGTCAACCATTTTGAAAATTGCGTAAAATCTGTAGATATTAGGTTACAATAGAAGTATTTTCGGTTGTTTCTAATGATTCTTTTCCATTTACGTCCTAGATCTTGTTAAATGAAAAACTATGATTATTCATATCTGAACCGGTTAAATGTACGAATTTAAAGTAAGCTTCATTTTAAGATAGTAGAAGAATTGTGAGAGTCTGGCGTTTCGATATTAGAATGCTTGCAATGGC